GGGTGTGGGAGCGTTTCACGGCCATGATCGCTAGTGCGCCACCGCTGTGCTGTCGTGTTGTGAAGAAGCGAATGATCGAAGCAGCTAACAGATTTTGGAATTTTTATATATAGCACAGTGTTGTCTCCGTCTTCACTTTAATCTTCTCCACCTTTTCATTGTTTTTATCTACCAAACAACAATAATAAGAAATTTCTTCTCTGATCTGCACCTTTTTCTCCTTTTTCCTTTCATTTTGTGTTGTGTAGTGCATATATATGTTTACATTTGGGGGGTGGGGGGATAACCCATATTTTCTATGGACCCGTCAAAGTTCATGAAGAGATAAATCGAGTAAATTTAATTTTGAGACCTAACACTAATTAATTGTATGTTCATGACAAGAATATAAATCTCTCCCTGCCGCTATAAATCAATCTTAAATGATTTTTTTTTTTTTTATCTACTATAGTGCTGTACCAATGTCTTAGGAGCACAAAATTAATTTTCACGGTAAAAAAAATGACGGATTAAGTAGTTATATTGGTTTATGTAGATGGCTCAATTGATGGCATAGTCATATTTAATTGTTTAATTTTTGATGAGTGGCGAAAAAATGACGGATTAAGTAGTTATATTGGTTTATGTAGATGCATGGCTCAATTGATGGCATAGTCATATTTAATTGTTTAATTTTTGATGAGTGGCGTGCATTTTCACCCTGATATTGATGGGGATCAAGAGATATTAGTGTGTAGCGAGTTTGGTTAAACACTTTATTTGTATCTTATTAATTTTACATTCTCAACTCAACTATCACAACTAAACTTGGCTGCGATGATATGCCATTGCCTTTGGTCACGACCCACAAAGTACTTATACCATATAAATCAACAAATAAGTTAACTTTTGGCCAGGACTATGTGGTCTAATGGTATCCGGGTTGGACTTCCATTTGGAAGGTTGTAAGTTCGAGCCTCAGTGGAGGCGTTATTGGCTCTTTGTGTTTTAGTAGGTTGAGAAAGTATATGAACAGATACTACAATCTAATAGAGCTAGTAGCATTAAAAAAAAAAAAAGTTAACTTTTTTTTTTTTTAGCTAGTGGTAGATCGATATATTGTAAATAATATGTATTTTTTTTTATATATATTCCACAACAAATATTTTGAATCATTGACTATTACATTTTTAATGCATGTTTTTTTACCTACTAATTAACATCAATTAAAATTAGACTTGCCTATTCAAATTTAAAATAGTCCATTTTTAGTATAATAGCTAAAATAATGGAGGCTTCTAATAGTTAGGATGAGAGTTAGACCTCATGTTATGCACTTACAATTGTTGGGAGTATTTGTCTCACTAGTGAGAGTATTTCGTCTCTATTGATTTAGATATGTATTTGATTGTGGTTGTTATAGAAAGAATTTGTAATTATATTAATTGACATAAATAATACTTTAATTTGAGAAATTATAATTATATCATTTTAAAAAGACAATTGAACAGACATACACTAGATTCAAGAAATTCCAAGAAAACAATATTATATGCATAGCAAAAAGGTGATGTAGAAATGCACCACGTTGTGTCTCCATTATTTTGGGACTTAGCTTCTATGTCGAAGGTTGTATGTTTGTGTCCAAGTTATTCTGATTTTTTAAAAAATTATTTTATTAAATTAAAGTATAATTTTGATATAATTACAGTTTCATTTGACAATTTGTATTCCATATGTGAGACATACATATTATTACATATTTTTTTTTAAATACATATTGTAGTTTCATTTAAGCAAAACTAAAGTATCATTTATATTCAACTCAAATTCTATTTAACAATATACACTCAATATGTGAAACATGTTATTCAATTTCATTTTATGCATACTGCAGTTTCATTTCAACACAACTAAAGTATCATTTTAATGCAATTACAGTTTCATTTGATAAGATAAACACAATATGCGAGACAGTTTCATTTTAAATATACTATAATCTCATTTTGTTATGAACTTACAACAAAATATAGAATTTGTTAAAATGTAATGACTATTGTTTCTTTGCTTTAAAAAAAAAAAAAAAAACCTCGTTTCAAACCATAGCTCACCGTATAACAACCGCCAATTGGAGCGTTGGGGGGACACCTTTATGCATGGTTAAAAACATATATGCCACTAACCTTCAATCATTATTGCATGAACCATGGTCCACATAATTGTGTGGACCATAAATAAAAAGTAAATTTTTAATATATTAAGGGTACATTATTTATGTTCGTACGGTACATTTTTTGAAAGTACATTTTTAATATACGAAAGGTACATTATTTTATATAATGTATCTTTAGTACAAAAATAATGTACCTTCAGTACAATAATAATATATTTTTAATTTAATATATTAAAAATGTATCTGATATTTATGATTCACACAATTATGTGGATCATGGTCCACAGTCCACACAATAATTTGTCACCGACCTTTTGCCCAAGTGTCCAGCCCACAGAACATGGGCCCAAATAAGAACAATGGGTGTGTTTCATAACCTTCTGCCCAAGTGTACAGCCCACAGAACATGGGCCCAAATAAGAACAATGGGTGCGTTTCATAAAACATCAGGCCCAAATTTGACACAATAGAAAAGATAGAATAGTTATGCTGTGCATCTGTATGCACATACAGATGCAAAAACGACGTCGTTTTATTAAAAACGCGCGTCTCCCCTTTAAAAAAAAAAAATCAGGTTCGATTTCTAGTAACAACATTATTTTATTCATTCATTATGGAATTTTAGTTCATGGATTATGGAATTATAGTTCATCGATTATGGAACTATAGTTCATCGATTCTGGAATTATAGTTCATCGATTCTGAAATTTTAGTTCATAGATTCTGAAATTTTAGTTCATTCATTCTAAAAATTTTAGTTCATAGATTAGATTATGGAATTATAGTTCATCGATTATGGAATTATAGTTTCGAACCTAATTTTTTTTTTTTAAGGGGAGACGTGCGTTTTTATAAAACGACGTCGTTTTTCATCCGTATGCACCATGCTTGGTGCATACGGATGCACAGCATAATTTGCCGAAAAGATAGTGTATTAATGTATTACTCATCACATGGCCACATTCAAACAAGGATTTTGAAATATAAGTTCCCTCCAAACCAGAGCCCTAGACCTTCAAATTCAAGTACCAGATAGATAGAAATGGCTTCCCGAGCACAAAATCACCTACAAAAACCCCCCAAGCAGCCTCCGAGGATCCTCAAAAAGCAATGGTCCATCGACGATTTCGAGATCGGGAAACCCCTCGGAAAGGGCAAATTCGGCCGCGTCTACCTCGCCCGTGAAATCAAGGTATTCTTTTCAAGCCACTAGATCGATGCCTTTTTTCCTTTGAATTTCTTTCTGGAACTGGAACTGGAAATGGTGGTTTTGCAGAGCAAGTATGTAGTGGCATTGAAGATAATTTTTAAAGAGCAAATAGAAAAGTACAGGCTGCATCATCAGTTGAGAAGGGAGTTGGAGATCCAGAGCAGTCTCCGCCACCCGAATGTTCTGAGGCTCTTCGGCTGGTTCCATGACGACGAGAGGATTTTCCTGATCTTAGAGTATGCTCATGGCGGCGAGCTCTACAAGGAACTCCGCAAATTCAGAACCTTTTCTGAAGAACAAGCCGCCACTGTATCTGCTCACTCTTTCTCATATATTCTGTTCACTAGAATTTTCCTAAACCCTAAACCCTAAAAATGATTCAATTTGTTAGTACTATTCCAAGATAGATACAAGCCTTTTCTATTTTCAGATCCTTAGTGGTGGATATTTCATTCTTTGGTTTATTAACACAAGACTCCAGATTTACCTGTTCAGTATATACTTCCTTGCCTATCATTTTGCATTGCTTCTATGCCTGATATGAAACTTTTTACACTGTTTTTAATGAGATATATTCACAAATGTTGGGATAGTTCAAGTGTTTCTGATTCTTTGTGCTTTTACTGGTTCTGATTTTTAGTACATTGCAAGCCTTACTCAAGCACTGGCGTATTGCCACGAGAAACATGTGATTCATAGGGACATAAAGCCCGAAAACCTGTTGCTAGACCATGAGGTAACACTAGAGTAACTTTATAATTTCAATGCTTCTTTCATACAGAGCGAGAACAATTTGTGGATTTACCAGTTTTCCTTCATATTACTTCATGTCCTCTAATTGAATTTAGTTTACTTGGAAAACAAGAACTTCAAGAGGTTGGAAAGAAGTTTCTTTTGTAGCATTGTATGTACTTGGCAAATGACACTACATGATCTTCTCTTGAAATAGGTGGTATTGGTAATGGTAATGAGTGGATTTTGAATGTAGGGGCGATTGAAGATTGGAGACTTTGGGTGGTCAGTACAATCGAGAAGCAAGAGACGTACAATGTGTGGAACTTTGGACTACTTGGCACCAGAAATGGTGGAGAACAAAGCTCATGATTATGCAGTTGATAACTGGACTCTAGGTGTTCTTTGCTATGAGTTTGTGTATGGTATGCCCCCATTTGAGGCAGAAAGCCAGAAGGATACCTTTAGAAGGTAAGGATGATGGATAAGCTATTAAATATAAATAGTATGTAATATCTATATCTCAATTCATTACCACAAGATGATGAATTGATGATGCATAATTTGAATGATGTAGGATTATAAAGGTTGACCTCAACTTTCCCTCCACTCCTCAGGTCTCTCCAGAAGCAAAGAATCTCATTAGTCGTGTGAGTTGGTTAATTGATAAAGCATGCATTTACTCCATAGTCCATATTGTTCTCTGTAATAATATATAATGTTAATGTTGACTTTGCCAGCTTCTGGTGAAGGATTCTTCAAAAAGGCTGGCTCTTGAAAAGATCATGGATCATCCTTGGATAATCAAGAATGCTAATCCCATTGGAGCATGCTGGAATTGACTTCCAATTTATAACTTCTCAGATCAGAGCAAATAGTGTTATTGAGATACATGATATTAATCATTTCAAGCTAATTTATAGAGCAGATTTACGAAATGATTTGGATGGTATGTTTAAAATTTCAGGAGGCTCAAGAGCTGTGAACTTGTTCATCTCCTCTTCAAACCTCTTCATGGCCACCGCCGGCAAGAAAACCGGCACAAGCACGCCGTCCTGACCGTCGCTATTCCGGTAGCGAGCATGAGTAATAGCGGTGGCTGATGCTCCTCCATCCATGGTCCCTCCATACACTGGTTTCCCCCATCCAAAATCTATTCGATGAAACCCTAATCTTGTCAAATCAGTAACGACAATACTGTTACGTGTCCTCAACAATGGCGGCTTTCCATTCGAATCCAAAAAGTTAACCTCCGACCTGATATAATCTCCACTCACTCTACTCTTCGCTTTCTCTATCAACTCCACCGCATACTCTAACGGGCTATTATCACATAATAATAACTTCCCAGCTTTTGCCACCGCCGCGGAAACCACCACCGCGTTGCCGTAGTAGCCGTCGCGCAGCTCAGGTGGACCTTTGTCACGTACATTAATCGGGCATATGACGGCGACGGTCTCGTCGCCGTCGAACTCTAAGGCTCGTGTCCGACATATCCATATGCAAGCTGTAATCAAATCAAACTTTGAGGTTGGTCGTCGTTGAGTCTGCGGCGGCGGCGGTGGAAGTTTTTGGCGGATGGCTTTCAACTCTTTGGGGCCAAAAAAGAAAGAACGGCTAACCAAGTTGTCATAGGGATCTGTTATTGATTTGTGGCTGATAATGTCATATGCTTCTGTGTGGTCGTAGGTTGTTTGGAGTGGAGGTGGAAGATGTTTTGCAGTCAATAATTCTCTTCTCCAGATAGGTTTAGTTGAAGGTGAAGATGCACCCTGAGCTAACTCTTCCACAGCCTTCACAAATTGTGCTAAACCTAATCCATTAGTTAGAACATGGTTTGCACGTATAGCCACCACAAATCCTCCACACATCAACCTCGTAACCTGTAACAGAACCGAGATCAGCTATGAGCAACCTAGATTAATTTGTAGTTTTTTGCTGATTAGAACCACAATTAAGCCGGATTGGGATTTACTTAGTGTACAAATTAGGGTATTGAATGCGGGTTTCTCTAATTAAATTGTTGTTCACACAGCTGTGTGAACCATGTTCCACACAATAATTTGCCAATGGATCGAGAATGTAATTGTTATGCCATGAACCGGCCGGATCCAAAACGACGCAACTTTGCGCATGTGGAATAACGGTGCCGTTAGTCAATCCTTTTAAGTTATTGCAGGCACTGACTAATTAATTAACTGAATTATTAACTAGTTATATAATTGGATAACTTTACCAAGTGGCTTGTGGTCCACTGGTATCGGATTGTTCCCCTATGTGGGAGGTCTAGGTTTCAAGCCTCGTTGTAGGCGTAGTTTGTATGGGTATCCCCCTTCCTTTGAAATAAAAAAAAAAAATTGGATAACTTTAACTAGTTAGAACTACCTGAACTAACATCAATGGGTAACCGAGTATTCCATCAGAGCCAGGCACTTGATACAGGAGCTCCTTGGAGTACAAACATGGCGGTCTAATGGCATCACCAAAATCTTCCAAGCTGAAATTACTATCTGCTTCCACGAACAAGATCCCTTCACCACTGCAATCCACCATCAACTTATCCTCATTAGGGCCATGAATAAGGCGACCTGCAAGAGGGTAGTACCATACAAGAGCTTCAGCTAATGCATCTCTAATGGTTTCCACAGGGTCCCTTGCTTTCATGAGGGGATTTGCCCTATAGAACATGATCATAGAAATATGAATCCTCAGACCTTTTTGGTCATCTATGTCTGATAATTCCTTTATTTCATGGGGTGTAGGTTTAGCGGGTACAAGGAGCTGTGGTTCCTTATGGTTAACAACAAAAGCTTGTTTTCTTGCCTATAGAGTTGGTTTAGCTTGATGCAGCCTGCTTCGCTTCACTATTTCACCTCTATTTATACATTAATTTTATTTGTCTAAAAAAAAATAAAAGTGGTAAACTTTTTATAAACAAGATGAGCCCAGCTGACCTACGATATAACTACTTCAATTGTACTGTTGCTCTAGCGTGGAAGAAATATATGAAGTAGACAATCGTATGTATGAACCTAATATATATATATATATATATATATATATATATATATATATATATATATATATATATATATATATATATATATATATATATATATATATATATTGGGTGGGTGGGCGTGTGGGTGTGTGTGGGGGGTGACAAGTGTATAGACATATTGCAATCGTTATGCTATGGACCCGTGTCTAGCATGCATTGTGGGCACGGGTAATAATGCCGTTAGTGGCACTATTATCTTCCATTTTTTTTAAAAAAAATTTCAGACCGCTTCGTTATAGGGGTATATGTTCATAATTTTATTACTATATATTCATAATTGTAAGTTCATAATGTCAGAGCTATGTTCATAATTTCATAATTGTACATTCATAATTCCGTAACTGTACATTCATAATTTAATAACTGTAACTTTATAATTTTCGAAACTCTATGTTCACAATTTTAGAGCTCTATGTTTATAATTTTATCACTATATGTTCATATTGTAAGTTCATAATGTCAGAGCTCTATGTTCATAATTCCATAACTGTACATTCATAATTGCATAACTGTACATTCATAATTCCGTAACTGTATATTCATAATTCAATAACTGTAAAATCATAATTTTCGAAGCTCCATGTTCACAATTTTAGAGCTCTATGTTCATAATTTTATCACTATATGTTCATAATGTCAGAGCTCTGTGTTCATAATTTTACAACTTACATTTATAATTCCATAACTATACATTCATAACCCTATAACTGTACATTCATAATGGCACAAATGAATAACGCTGTTAACGGCGAGACAAAATCAATTTTTTTTTTTTTAAAACTGGAATGACACGTTTTCCCTAAAAACGACGACTTTGGACTCATTGTGGACACGGGTTCAGGGCATAATTTGCGGACATATTGACAGAGTAATGGTGCTAGCAACCGATCCGGGCTGTCAACAAGCACCTAACCCGACACCACATGAAAACCCAACGGACAGAATACTAATGGGTGGAACGTTACCACATGTCATTTACTATGCCATTGAAGAGAGAGAAATAATGGCTCCTCATTATGTCTCATCATGTCATTACCTTTAGGACGATATAAATAGGACATCTCCTCAGCTAGGGAGACACGTTCAATATTCTGTACTGAAACACTTGCAATACAACAATTTGTTATTCTTATAATATTATATCTCCGATAACATGCTTACCGTCACATATAATCTACCAATTTAGGCTAACCTTATCCCAACAATTTTCTCTTACTTTCTAAAATGGGTCCCACTTCCACATCATCAAATTTACAATTTTTCAACTATTTTCTCTATATCCCTACAATACTCTCTCACTTTTAAAAATGGGTGCCACTTTCAATCAAATAAACAAATACATATATAATAATATTAAAATAGAAAAATGTAAAAGAATGTACAAGTTTTGCTGCCAAAGCTGCCATTTGGCAGCTGTCATTGTACTTAGCAAGCTTTCTAAAACATAAAACTTCCAAGACATGTGGTAAACAAAAACAAATTAAAAGATTTTTTTTTACACATAATCATGCCATGCATGTCACTTTGTAAATGTTAAAATTTCTAGGTTAAGGATAGCCTTAAAGATTTTGTATCTTATAGTACAACTGACTAGGTACGATATTGATATTATTATTATTATTATTATTATTATTATTATTATTATTATTATTATTATTATTATTATTATTATTGAATGCTATTATTATTATTATTTATTTTTTTTATTATTATTATTATTATTATTATTATTATTATTATTATTATTATTATTATTATGTGCAGAGTTGGTGGTCACGGTCAAGGTCACGACGTGAACTTGACTGTGACCTCTGGAACTTGCGAATTATGTTGAAAAGTCACGGTAGAATTCACGCCATGAATTCCAGCTTGACCTTGCACCGAGATGTAGAGCTTGGAAGAAGATGTAGTAAGGTTTCTACGAGGGTAGGATTTTACTACTTGATAGGCTAATTAGATCACGAGAGTGGCTTGGCAATGGAAACAATTGTCAAGAATCATGATCAATGCATTACACTACTTCCTATACTTAGGGCCATTCTGTTGCACCCAATCAAGGAACACTCCTAGTCCCCTCCATTCACTTAATTGCTTCCTTACAATTACTTATTTACTTGTTACTTTGATAATGCTCTTGGGACCTAACTTTCTATGGCTCTACGCGCTTGTGCATAGCCGCGTATTGTTCAATACCCATTAGCCATCCTTAGAGAACGACATCCCGGGGAAGTTTCACATTTCCTAAATCTTCTTTCAATCCCATGTAAACTTCAACTTTCACTGTACCACTCAATAACACTCCTTGATTTTTGCCGGATTATATTCTAAATCCCATGAATTCTCTTCAAACTTATGAGGAGATAAATTGAGTCAATTTAGTTTCTATAGTCAACACTAAACTATACACTTTTATGCACAAGAAGTCAACCTAAACTCAAATCTTGAATGTTCTTTTATGCACAAGAAGTCAACCTAAACTCAAATCTTGAATGTTTTTAGAAGGAATCTAATCTCTACTTTGCTATTGGAAGCAAGTCTTAAGTGAGCCACTAAATCAATGTCATTGGGCTATTTTCTAATCATACTTAAGTATAATTTTATTTATGTTTCATGACAAGAAGTTACACAAACCATGTTCTAAGCTAATAACTTAGCACAACATACACAAGGACTATAAAGCAGATTGGGATATGATAGCTCTAATTTATTTATAGAGCAAATTTACGAAATGATTTGGATGGTATCTCTAAAACTTGACGAGGCTCAAGAGCTGTGAACTTGTTCATCTCCTCTTCAAACCTCTTCATGGCCGCCGCCGGCAAGAAAACCGGCACAAGCACGTCGTCCTGACCGTCGCTATTCCGGTAGCGAGCATGAGTAATAGCGGTGGCTGATGCTCCTCCATCCATGGTCCCTCCATACACTGGTTTCCCCCATCCAAAATCTATTTGATGAAACCCTAATCTTGCCAAATCAGTAACAACAATACTGCTACGTGACCTCAACAATGGCGGCCTTCCATTCGAATCCAAAAACTTAACCACCGACCTAACGTAATCTTCACTCACTCTACTCTTCGCCTTCTCTATCAACTTCACGGCATACTCTAACGGGCTATTATCACATAATAATAACCTCCCAGCTTTTGCCACCGCCGCGGAAACCACCACCGCGTTGCCATAGTAGCCGTCGCGCAGCTCAGGTGGACCTTTGTCACGTACATTAACCGCGCATATGACGGCGACGGTCTCGTCGCCGTCGAACTCTAAGGCTCGTGTCCGACATATCCATACGGAAGCTGTAATCAAATCAAACTTTGAGTGTGGTTGAGTATAATGCGGTGGAAGTTTTTGGCGGATGGCTTTCATCTCTTTGGGGCCAAAAAAGAAAGAACGGCTAACCAAGTTGTCATAGGGATCTGTTATTGATTTGTGGCTGATAATGTCATATGCTTCTGTGTGGTCGTAGGTTGTTTGGAGTGGAGGTGGAAGATGTTTTGCAGTCAATAATTCTCTTCTCCAGATAGGTTTAGTTGAAGGTGAAGATGCACCCTGAGCTAACTCTTCCACAGCCTTCACAAATTGTGCTAAACCTAATCCATCACTTAGAACATGGTTTGCACGTATAGCCACCACAAATCCTCCACAAATCAACCTCGTAACCTGTAATTTATAACATATAAATTAAAAATAACATTACTTTCTTATTAATTAATCAAGATCAAACTCCTATTAGTATCCAAGAATATATATGCACATGTAAATCCCAAATTAAAAGACCACAACGGATAAACAAACTTAAGTTGCAATCAATCATTATATCATGGAGCATGGTTCATCCGACAAGATAGACCATTGATATAACAGGGCGTTTTGTTGGGAGTAAGGAATTAGGGTGGAAAGGAATTGCAATTCGTTGGGAAAAGAATAAGGTGGGAATAAAGTAGGAATTCAAATTATATTGTTTGGTAGGGATGAATAGAATTATTGGGTAGGGAATGAAAGAAGTGATATAAAGACTAAAATGTCCTTGTGTAATAATAATAGTAGTAATAATTAAGGGTACTTTTGTCATTTCATTCCTTTTTCCTTTTCCCACAACCACCGAATTGCAATTCATATGGGGGTGTCCATGAATTGCAATTCAGCAAAAGGAGGGAATTGCAATTCCCTCCAACCAAACAGCGTAATTGTGACTTCCACTGAATTGCAATTCAACTACAGCCAAATTACGCCCAACCAAACAGGCCATAAAGTTCATTATTATTAGTTTTCTATAAAGGCTTAATAAATCTTTGGTTGTTTGTCTTTCAAATATATATATATATATATATATATATATATATATATATATAGAGAGAGAGAGAGAGAGAGAGAAAGAATTACATTCATGTAAAAACAGGGCTTAAAATACAAACGTGTGGATATTTCTGGATCGTTGGATTTTGGGTATCTAAGGTTGTGATTAGTTTTTATGATTTTGCGTGCTGCCCGTCTGTGTGCACTATCGTTAATGGACATGTGCACGCCGGCCCAAATATTGTGGATTCGCACATGCATACTATATTGGATGTGTGCATTGTCGATCACAGATTTGTTCATACCCACATTTAGGTGTGTGCACGGTATATACCCACGTGTTTGTATTTTAAGAGTGTGTGCACTATATATATATATATATATATATATATATATATATATATATATATATATATATATATATATATATATATATATGATTATTTTCAAATACAAACCCCCCTTAAAATACAAACCTCCCTTAAAATACAATCTGTGTGCATGTAAGTATGTTAATGTGTGCACGAGCTAATCTCAGATTTTGTTGGCTGTGTGCCCAGTGTGCATGTAAGCATGTTAACGTGTGTACGTGATTTGATGGATGGTTGTGTTTTTTTTCTCCTACGCGTTGTGTGCATGTAAGTATGTTAATGTGTGCACGAGCTTTGATGGATGATTGTGATTTTTCCTCCTACGCGCTGTGTGCGTGTAAGTATGTTAATGTGTGCACGAGCTAATCCCAGAAATTGTTGGCAGTGCGCCCTGTGTGCATGTAAGTATGTGAATGTGTGCACGAGCTCAAGTTTGTATTTTAAGGGGAATTTGTATTTTAAGGGGGTTTGTATTTGAATGCAACTATATATATACTAGTTTTTTACGCGCATTGCGCGATTGGGATAATGCCCAATGTTTGTTTGTTTTTTTTTTTCTTTTTAAAAATAAGTACTTTAAAGTATATTAAGGCAAGATTATATTGAAATTGTTCATGCATAGATAATTGAAGGTTGAATTTGCATATTTAAATAGGTAACTCTTCTCCCAAAGGTTGAGTCCCCAACCCCAAGGGTCCCCACACTCTGACCCGACAGAGCATTGTGGGAAGTTGTAAATCACAGTGACTCAATGATTTAGCAGACAAGACCAAATGCCGGTGCGCACAAGCAATCTGCCCACTTTGGACATAATTCCCGCACTGTCGCCGCCGAGGTTCAAACCTTGGTCTCTTCTCTCAAATACTGCCCACTAAATTAACCATTGAGCTAAGCCCGTGCGGGTTAAATAGGTAATTCTAAGTTTACAAATGCAAGATAATATAGTCAAGATTGATTATAATTGTCAATAAAATAATTGTATAGGTATGGTTGAAACCAAATACGGGACATAAGAGAGAACAAATAAAAATTAGGGCATAAAATATTAAATATATACTAATATTGTTTGAGGAGATTTCGACATTAGGATTTGTGGTTAAGTTTTATTAAGACTTTAATATTAGAATTAGATTGATGGTGTAGTTATAATTCTATATTAGACTTTAATATTAGAATTAGACTAACGGTGAATTAACGGTATTTAACGGAAAAGTTAAATGGATAATCATATAATTAAGGATAAATTAGAAAAACTTAAAAGAAAAAAAATTAAAACCTGAACAATCTGAACCATTCATTTGATTTAATAATTTGGCGGTCATTTTTTCTACCCAATGTTAATAATTAAATAAATTCGTTGGTCAAATCCGCTAATATAATCCACTAACGCTAACCGCTAACTGCTAATTGTCAAACAAGGACATTGTAAGGTAGTTCTCACTTCAATATGTTGTGTGATTTGAATACACTCTTTGTCACAAAATCTCTCTAGTTAATATGGTTGGCTTTATTAATTATATATTTTTTAATTTTTTCATGGTATTAATAAAATACTTGGTAAATAAATATATAGCATTATTTTGTATTATAACTTTGATATTTAATTAGAAAAATAGTGCACAAAAAAGATAATAGACAATGTAGTGAATATAATCAATTGATGAATTTCAATGTAAAAATTTTTACATTTGAGAAAAATAAGGACAATATAATTAATGAAAATATTTATCTTAATTAATTTGTTGATAATGAATAATTTTTTTTCACTGAAATAAGACATTGTAAGGACAATGTAACGAATATAATCAATTAATAAATTTGAATATAAAGAATTTTTATATTGTAGAAAAATAAAGACAATATAACTAATAAAATTATTTCTCTTATTTAATTTATTGATAAAGAATATTTTTTTTTGAATAAAGGCATTGTTGACACATAATTCTAAATTAAAGAAATGCATATCTATAATTTTTTGTTGTAGCTACTAAGTTATTATTTATATAATTTAATAAGAGTAAAATAGAGTACTAATTATGCCAACTTTGTTTGGAATGAGGTTCGAACCTAAGACCTTTTTTTTTATTGAAATCAATGAGTAAGTTAACGGTGAACTAACGGCAATTCTTAAAATTTTAACGGAATTAGTAACGGTGTGGGGGTATTTTAGAAAATTTTAATGTAAAATTTAAATTTGATCAATCTTTTAATCAATCTGAGCCATTCATTTGATTAAAATCTGTGACCGCCATTTTTTCTACCCATTATAGGCCTAACTCTCTTGGGCTCTTATTAGTATATATATAGTAGAATATATTATATAAAATTTGACCCGTTGTCATCCTTAAGTTATTAAAGTGATGTAATTCAGGTACTGACTAAATTAACTAATTGAACAATTAACTCGAAATACCTGAACTAACATCAATGGGCAGCCGAGTATTCCATCAGAGCCAGGCACTTGATACAGGAGCTCCTTGGAGTACAAACATGGCGGCTTAATGGCATCGCCAACATCTTCCAACCTGAAATTACAATCTGCTTCCACGAACAAGATCCCTTCACCACTGCAATCCACCATCAACTTATCCTTAGGGCCATGAATAAGGCGACCTGCAAGAGGGTAGTACCATACAAGAGCTTCAGCTAATGCATCTCTAATGGCTTCCACAGGCTCCTTTGCTTTCATCCGGGGATTTGCCCTATAGAACATGATCAAAGAGACATGAATCCTCAGACTTTTTTGGTCATCTATGTCTGATAATTCCTTTATTTCATGGGGTGTAGGTTTAGCAGGTACCAGGAGCTGTGGTTCCTTATGGCTAACAACAAAAGCTTCTTTTCTCTCCATTTCGGTTTTTTTTTTTTTTGGTTTTGTTTTGTTTTGTGTGTGCTTATAGTGTGGAAGAAATATGGAGTTGGTTTAGCTTGCTAATATATATAGAGGTGAACAAGCATCAAGCTAAACTATGCTATGCCCATATATAAATCATCTAGAGTCGAACTTATAACCTTGTGGTAAACCTCCACCCAGTTGCCGCTAGAATTGTGATTTTAGGTCATGTGGTCATATATTTATGAGTCTGTTCAGGTGAGAACGGGTTGCTTAGGAGATAACGAAGAATCACTCACAGTCGTCCATGTGTTCAGATCTAACGGATCAGAAACACTGATTTAAAAAAAAAAACGCGATGACATTTTCGTAAATTATTGAACATTGAAGTACAAGTACATTGTGTTAAAAGTGTAAGTAATAGTTTCATGTAGTGCATCTACGTGCAAGTAAAATGTATTAAAAGAGCAAGTAAAATGTATTAAAAGTGCAATAAATAATGTACACTGAGCATCAATATTATATGCACCTAACGTTATCATTAGTTGCACCAAATGTTATTATTAAGTGCACCAATGTGAAAGACGTTATCATTAGGTGCACCAACGTTAACAAGGTAAATTACTTACACTATTTAGTGAAAATGGTTACAATTGTATGTGATTTTACTTGCACTTTTTACTGCAAACTTGCACTTTTAACAAATTTTATTTGGACCAAAGTTTGAGTTATTTACAAAAATGTCACCGCGTTGTTTTTTAAAATTACATTTGATTCGTTAAATATGAACACGTAAACGGCTGCGATTGATTCTTAATTTTTTCATGGACACCCGTTCACACACACACACACACTCCAATTGTACGTTGCTCTAGCGTGGAAGAAATATGAAGTAGACAATCGTACGTATGCTTTGGATCGGACCTTAAAAGGTTAAGTAATCTCTTGCTTATCTATCCTTGTAAAAAAAATTAATCTCTTACTTCACTTCATCAGATAATTATATTAGTACACCCAAATTATGTTAGTAATCTCTTGCTTATCTATCCTTATAAAAAAAAAATAATCTCTTACTTCACTCCATCAGATAATTATGTTAGTACACCCAAATAATTCGCAACTCTATTTTGTATATATATATATATATTAATCTCTTACTTCACTTCATCAGATAATTATGTTAGTACATGTATGAATTTCTTTGTTATTATGATCATCAAGTGCTTGCAAGTTAATTATCACGGCGTCAAAATTTATGTATAATTAATAATGAAGACACACACTGACACACACACAAATGAGTTCAATCGTATATGAGCTTAAATATATGATGAGTGGGATAATGGCCATAAACTAAAATATTCATAACAGAAATGACATTTACAACGTTAACAAATGATTTTGAGAGACTAAAATATTTTCAAAACATAAAATGCTCACATCTTACTGTTTTTGTGTATCATAGATAATGAAAATATAAATAATCTAACCCAATAGTTTAGGCTGTTGTAAGTAAACTGCTAACGCAATTACAAAACTTAGTGAACGCAACTCGAGTTCTACGGACCCATTTAGCCACATTGCTATCTTTACATGATCCTATATATCTACATCTTGAGATATGATTAATTAAGTTTAATTTGTATTAAAAAAGTAAGATTAATTCCCATTATTAAAATGTATTATTATATATTAGTTGACTTTGTATCTTTTGCTAATCAAATTCGATTGTTATTGCCTACATGTAACTAATAACACGAATAAGTTCATTCAAAATTCAAAAATATATGAGCTATATTATATATGTATATGTGATATTCATATACATACTCCGTATTTTATATTAATAAAAGAGCAATGATGAGTTGCCCATAAGTTTAGTTCATACCGGATGAAGCCCGCCTTATGACTATAAGACGCATAGACAACTTTTAAGGAGTCAAATTTAAAATTTTGTAGTTACTAAATTTATTTGACGTCAAATTAAAGGCCTTGTGGTCAAGCGGCATAACTGTGACCTCTCAATTGAGAGGTCTCAAGTTCGAACTCAGTAATCACTACATAATTATATGCGTTAATGTGAGGTATGCATATAGATAATTATATAATTAATTGTAATTGAAGTTGTTAATTACTTGTAAGATAATTATTCACATAAATAAATAGATCAGATAGTCGCGTTCAAACTTCTATCTGTTATATATATGTATTTTAATAATCATGAATTAAAGGAGGAAGAAATGTATTAAAATAAATACCACTTGGGTATTTATCTATCTTTTATCACAAAGGTTTAGTGGTGAAAACAAATAGATTATGTGCTTTGTTCCAATTTTAAACTTTCAAAAATTCATAATAATTTCGTATCTATACTATTAATAAAAACAAAATCTCCATTTTAACTTTTCGTCCAAAACAGTCATATTTTGCATAATATTGTTAAATATTGTAATACAATTCCTAATAGAATATATTATTTCCTATTTTCCTACTACAATTCTACATTAAAATTCATATTCGTAATACAATAGAGCAATATTAAAATTCATATTCCTATTCAACAATATTATCCCGTCAACGAGTTCAATAGATTTGTTAGTCCAACGGTACTACTCAACGGGTTTATTGAACCCACACCGTTTTTCCCTTTTTGGTGGTGCACCACAGATTACTCATAAGTGCACCACATAGCATGCATAAATAACTACATATTAACTCCTAGTGCACCACTGAAATATACATAGTGTACAAAATTACTTAAAAACTGTAAGAATTGAAAAATGGTCGGACTGCATTTGATGGGCTAATTTTATCTGTTGTGTTTTGTTTAAAGTAAATAAAGTTGTTGAGACCTCTGGGTGTAAATAAGATGATATGAGTTTCTTTCAACTTAATTAGAGGTCTTGAGTTTGAATCCTGAGAATGCAGCTACTTCAAAACTTATTAGGGATGTGGGGTCCTAGTCTACTTTTATTTTTATAATTTGTATTTAATAGAAGATATTGACAAGAACTGATGGAATTCATGATCTTTAGATATTTATGAGAATCATGCTCCAAATTAACATTTGACTACTCCTTACAAGGCGATTTTATTAGATTTTGTAAAGAAATTGTGTTGTGAGTAACTTTTAGTACATGTTAAAAATTGAAGCATGTGTTCAATCTCAACTAAAATATATATTATGTGCTTGTAGTTAATATATTATTGCCTTCAATTTATTACAAATAATTCTAATTTATAGAGTAGATTTAAGAAGTGATTTTGATGGTCTCTCTATAACTTCACTAGGCATAAGAGCTGTCAACTTGTTCATCTCCTCCTCAAACCTCTTCATTGCCGGCGGTGGCAAGAAAACCGGCACCACTATGCCGTCTTCTCCGTCGCTATTCCGGCAACGAGCATGAGCGATGATGGTGGCCGATCTTTCTCCCTCCATGCTCCCTCCATACACCGGCTTCCCCCACCCAAAATCCACTTCACTAAACCCTAATCTCGACAAATCAGTGACAATGAAACTACCACGTGATCTCAGTATCGGCGGCCGTCCCTTCGACGCCATGAAATTAACCATGGACCTAATATAATCCTCGTTCGCTCTACCCTTTGCTTCTTCTATTAACTTTACGGCATAGTCCAATGGATTATCATATAGCCTCCGGGCTTCCGTCACGGCCGCCGGAAACACCACCGCGTTGCCGTAATACCCGTCGCGCAGTACCGGTGGACCTTTGTCACGGACGTTAATGGTGCACACGACGCTTGTAGTTTGATCACCGTTTAAGTCTAGGGCTCGTGTTCGAGCTCTCCATATGCAAGCGGTAATCAAGTCGAACTGTGAGTTTTGTTGATGTTGGGCAGTGACTTGAAGAGCCGAGTCGCTAACTGTTGGGCATGTATAAAAAAATAAAGTGAGAATTTCGCTTCCCCAAGATCTTCCAAGCCGAAATTACTATCCGCTTCGACGAACAAAATCCCTTCACCATTGCAATCCACCATGAACTTATCCTCATCAGGGCCTTCAACAAGCCGACCTGCAAGAGGATAGTACCATACAAGGGCTTCAGCTAATGCATCTCTAATGACTCCCACAGGGTCCTTTCCTATCACCAGGGGATTTGCCCTATAGAACATGATCATGTGGAAATGCATCCTTAAACCTTTTTGGTCATCTATGTCTGATAATTGTTTGATTTCATGGGGAGTAGGTTTTGCAGGTACGAGGAGCTCTGGTTCCATGTGCCTAACAACAAAACCTTGTTTTTCTGCCATTTTGGATTATATTATTTTGATTTTAATGTGGAGGAAATATGGATTGTAATACAGCTCTTTTGATGCCTGCTGCCCTTGAATTTCATCTGCATGTATATATAGGCAAGAATCTAGATCAAATATTCAAAGAATGTAGATATGATTTATGATTATAAAGAAAAAATAATAGATTATTGAGTAATGTAAGCGGTATGATGTGGCGTGGATATAGTGATGTCAGGGATCATGTTGAGCCCACCGAATATTATTGAGTAATGTAAGCACTCTGGGAACCTGACCCTATATATATATATATATATATATATAAATATATAAATATAGCGATCTCGTGCAAATGTCTACTCAGGTGCGAAACAGGGCTTGATTTTAAGTTGTGCAAACTGGGCTACCGCACAGGGCCCCAAATTTTATAGGTCTAATATTTAATTTTTACCTAGCTAGTTTAGAAATAAAAATTAAAAACTTTCAATTAAACTTAAAAGGTTCTATGAAGAGATGGTAAGAATGTGTATTTGTTGTATTTTAACTTGGAGGTCAAAGGTTCGAAACTTGCATGTATTGATTTTAAAAATTGTGATTTTGGTAAGACCACATTTATTTACCAGAACAAGGCCACCAAAACTTAAAATACGGCCCTGGTGCGAAATATAAACTAATTAGCGCGTGTCGTGTCAGCATTTATTGATCGGATGAATTTACTTTTACCTACAAGTGCACCTACTTTCGCCTGCAAGTGTATGCAGTTTTTGCCTCTACTTTCACTTTCAGGTGCAACTACTTTCACCTACAAGTGCATATAATTTTGTCTTGTTATCATTCATTGATCAGGTGCACCTATTTTTGCCTCCAAGTGCACCTACTTTCACCAATAGATGCACTTACTTTCATTTAGGTGGAAAGAGGATCCTTCTAAGATCACCAAGGGACAGGTCAAGAGCAAAACGAGATTAAAGTTAGAATTAGAGTGCCTAGCAAGCCAATCCACTGCTTAGTTCTGTTCTTTAAAAACATGACAGCATTTAGCGATCCAATCTTTTCCACATTGCTATCTTTACACGATCCTATCTACATCATGAGATATGATTAAGTTTAATTTTTATTAGAAAAGTAAGATTAATTCCCATTATTAAAATGTATTATATATTATTGGTTGACTTTGAATCTTTTGCTAATCAAATTCGATTGTTATTCTCACCAAAAAAAAAAAAAAATTCGATTGTTATTGCCTACATGTAACTTATACGAATTAATTAGTTCATTCAAAATATATAAGCTATATTACATATGTATATGTGATATTCATATACATACTCCATATGTTATATTAATGCAAGAGCAATATGAGTTTCCCTTAAGTTTAATGCATACCGGATGAAACCTGCCTTATATATGACTATTAGACCTATAGACAACTCTTATGAGAAGTCAAATTTGAAATTTTGTAGTTACTAATTAAACTCACTCTCTGACTAGCTTGACTGGAGTTGACCCTATCATATTATAATTCCGATTCTTATAAAAATCACTACATAATTATATGCGTTATTTAAGCGTTAATGTGAGGTATGCATATAGAAAATTATATAATTAATTGTAATTGAAGTTGTTAATTACTTGTAAGATAATTATTCACATAAATAAATAGATAGTCGTGTTCAAACTTCTATATGTGATATATGTATTTTAATAATCATGAATTAAAGGAGGAAGAAATGTATTAAAATAACTATCACTTGGGTATTTTTGTTGTATATCTATCTTTATCACAAAGGTTTTGATAGTACTAATTCCCCCCGGTATACGGGTGTATGTACTAGAAGATGTTTATGTGTATATATTAAAAGTAGAAGCTAAGCAAGATGAACAAGGAAGAGAAAGATATATGAAAAAGGTTTCTTTTATTCCCTCTTGTGTTTCTGTGTTTTCCTCTAAGAAAGAAGAGCATAACTTGAAAATGAGAGAGGATAGAGAGAGGGCCGAGAGAGCCCAAAATGGAGAGAACCCCTTTACTTTGTGGGCTAAAAGGCCCTTTTATACGCCCGGTGGCAGGTTTGACCTGTCACTTTTGACTTTGACTCGTAGGCCAAGACCCGAACCACGAGATCCTGACTTAACTGTAAACGATGGCACGGACTCGGGGTATATAACTTATCAGGTTTAAAAAGTAAATGACATTTGACAGGAAAAAAAAAGTCTCATATTTCTTTTTTGACAAAGAGACATTGAAGTCTTTAAGAGTTAATACCATTTGAGATTTTCCTAGTATAGTAGTTTTGTCATGTTTAGTCTTAAATTTTTAAATTGACAATCTGTGGTCCTTTGACTTTCAAATTTAACCATTCGTGGTCCAAGTTAACCACACATTGTCCTTCAACTATTAAATTTTAACCAACCATAGTCCTTTCAAGAGGACCATGACTGATTAAATTTCAAAACTTGAAAGACGGGCTATGCCTACTGTCTTCTCTTATAGGTCGCACCGACCTGGTCCCGACCAAATTCTCCATTTAGCTCAACGGGCTCAAAGGACGTACAAATCTTAATGCTTATTAGAATGTTGTATAAAAATATTTTTTAAAAAAATAAAATTATGCTTTCTCTAATTATAATTTTTTATTTAATGATAAGCAAAATAATAATACTAATAATTTGTAACGATGTTACTTCTCATATAGATGGATGAGACACTTGCATTTAAGTTGTACACGCACAAGATAAAGGTATATGTACAACTATTCAAGTTGACCTTAAAAAACATTTTAAAATCATAAAACGTGTAAATAATGTGTTACCAAAAAAAAAAAAAAAACGTGTAAATAATGTTGTCAAATGTCAATTAATTTTAGGGATATGGTTTTAGACATGTATGTCAACCAATCAAACATGGAGGAGTTACCCTGTCTCCCTCAGTGTACCATATGTATTGAGGGTCTTTATTATTTCCTCCTTGATTAACCTTTTTGATAGCCACTTCTGTTTTTGCGATAAACGATGCCACACCAGCATCGACTATCTAAACCTTCTAAATTTAGTTTCTCCCACATCAGTCTGGAGAATATCGCTTATCCCTTCATGTGTGTCTTCCAAGATTTCTAAAATCTTTACGAGACCATTTCATTGTCACTCTCCAACAAACTCCACATTTCTAAAACCTTTACGAGACCAATTCATTAAAAAACGAATGGTTTTAGAAATATTTTTTTTTTATAATTTTCTTGAAGATATATAAAAATTAATTTTTAAATAACATAATATAATGACTATCATATCATATATACCGAGTAACTTAGGATAATATTTTAATGAAAATTATTGTGTATACCAGAAGAAGGAGAAAATAACTCACAAAAATCTCAACGAATATATAGCATTATGCATAATAACAAATTAAATTCATATCTAAATGTTGGTGTTTGGACATTTAGGAAGGTAACATGATTCATCAAGAATCATTTGTAAGCAATATAATGAAAATAAAATAAATTAAACAAGATTTTATGTGGAAATTCAATTTGAGAAAATCAAGAATCATTTAGGGTCCGTTTGGAAACTCAAAAAATGACTTTCGAAAGTCATTTTCTGAATTTTCTAGTGTTTGGCTACTCAAGAAAAATTAAATTAAAATAAAATATTCATTCTGGTCAACGAAAAAAAAAAAAAACTCAATTTTGTGAAAAATGTCTTCCTAATTTTTAAGTCTGGAAGACACTTTCCGAATTCTTTATAATAAATAATATATTCATTTTCAAAAAAAAAAAATGAACCAAAATGAAAAAATGCAATTTTTAACTTTCAACCAAACAGAAAAAGATAATTTTCTAACATTCAACCAAACACCACAAAATTAAAATACTTTTTAAATAATGAGTCATTTTCTAGATTTTCACATTATCATTGACGTTGCAATTTTCGTCCCTTTAACTAATAAAACATTATAAACGGAATTTGCAATTTTAGTATAAGTACAAAAAGTGAGTACGAATGAACAAAAAGTGCAAGTCAATGATAATTTAGGGATGAAAAATGTTAGCACAACCAACACTCAAATGACAAATTCTACAATTACCCTATAATTTAGGGACAAAAAGTACAATTTTTCTTAAATTTTTTAATAGAATTCTATTATATGAATTATCAAATTAAATCATAATCTCCTAATTTTACTCTCTGATGTGAGAAACTCATATAATTCAAAAAAGAGAAAAGAATGAGTGGTGGATGGAGGACAACCTTATTTGGCTGTTAGATTTTTGTGTACTTCTTTTTAATAATGATGCTTGTCGAGTTATTTTCAACTTTTCATGCATGAAATGACAGATAATTCAAAAGAAGAGCCAAAAAATGAGTGGTGGAGGAAAACCTTGAGTGTTAGAGCATCCACAATAATTGATCTCCCTCTATTGTTTTTTTTTTTTTTAGTACTTACAATAGTTTACTATCTGGAGAATTTTTTTTTTTAATTTTTAGAAAATTGGAAATTTTGAAAATAAAAAATAAAAAATAAAAAATATTTATTAACACAATTTTTCATTTTTAAAAACTGTTTTCTAAATGGATAATAGAATCTCTATAATTTTTTGGCTCTATTACATTACGAACCAATAACACCCTCCACTGAGGCTTGAACTCATAATCTTCCAAATGAAAGTTCAACTCGGGTACCATTAGACCACATAGTCCTACTAGAATCTCTATAATTTATTTGGCTATATATTACTACAACTACATTCTCACCATTATATACTTACATATTTATTCACTACTATAATTACATTCATTATCATATTCTTTTTTTTTTTTTTAAATTCATGAGTCTTGAATGCAAGAAATACCTATTTGGTTCATAGTCGAACAATTTTAATTAAATTAATTATTTGTGTAACTCTGTAGAAATGCAAGAAAGATAAACGAATTTAATTATCTGAGTAACTCTGTAGAAACGCAAAAAAGATAAAACGAAAATAAATTCAGAAAATCCAGAAACACAGATACCAGATATGTTTACGCAGTTTGGAGAAAACATCTCCAACATTCGTGAGGCCACTCAAAAGTAAAACTCAACTCCATTAGATGATCACAGACAACTAGATAAATTGATTCTACATACACCTATGACCTAATCAATCTCTTCAACTCAATTCTCATCATCTTCTTGAGTTGTTAGTAGGTCTTCCCTTTTCACGGTAACCTTCACTTCTTCTAAAAGACAATCTTATATTAAATATGCAGACCATTTTTACACCCTTTTCCAAATCTTTATTAGTCATGAATTCGAATGTGATTAAACAATTATATATACTATAATATCTCGATCTCGTCAAAATGTAGTTGATTCTTATTGCTTAGAGACATTGTATTTTGTTTCTTATGATTTGTTATACAAAGTTTACACGTTCATATTTGGTAGGAATAAGGTTCAAATTGGCCACTGAACGTAACCTGAAAATGCAATTAGGCCACTGAACGAAAAAAAAAAGTGCAATTAGGCCATTGAACACTCAAAAATGTGCAATTAGGTCACTAGACTCTCCAAACGTATGCAATTTTACCGGATAGCAGGTTACCATCAATTTTAGCAGGTTAGCTGCTTACGTGGCAGCTAAGTTGGCATTTTTAATAATTTTTAAATAATTTTTAATAATTAATTTTAATAATAAATTTTATAAAAAATTGAAAAAAATTAAATAAAAAATAAAATAAAGTCGTTTTTATTTTTTAAAAATTTTTTTAAATAAAAATTTATTATTAAAATGTATTAAAAATTAATTAAAATTTATTTAAAATGCCAACTCAGCTGCCACGTAAGCAGATAACCTGCTAAAATTGAGGGTAACCTGCTATCAGGTGAAATTGCACATTTTTGGAGTGTTCAGTGGCCTAATTGCACTTTTTTTCGTTCAGTGGCCTAATTGCATTTTTAGGTTACGTTCAGTGGTCAATTTGAACCTTATTCCTATTTGGTAATATAGTGATCGACATTCATCATTTGTTTGCTTAAGTAATAAAATATATTGTATGTATATTGTTGGGCATTTGCTTGAAGTGTAATGTCAAGTATTCTAACATTGAAATGTGACAATTATTACGCACTACTGCTAAAGGGTAAAAAAGAAAAAAGACATTTCTAACATGCATGATGTTAATGCTTTATTTTTGTGAGGATAATGCAAGTAGGGTAGTTATAGTACATACATTAATTGATTGATCCCAACATGTATCATTAAAACTTTTATTTTTATTTTTCATTTTAAAGTAGTTTCTATCCCCCCGCCCCCATCCCAAACCTACCCCCAACCCAACAAATTACACCAAATAAGCAAAACAAGCAAAGGGAAAGTACTATACGTGGCTTTAGAGAGCAGAATTAAGAAATGGTTTTAATGGCTCAAAAAATTCACCACTCTCCATAGCTGTCAACTTCTTCAACTCCACTTCAAACCTCTCCATCGCCGCCGCCGGCAGAAAAACCGGCACCAACACGCCGGCTTCTCCGTCGCTATTCCGGTAAGGAGCATAAATGCTATTATTCCCCGATCCTCCCTCCATGGTGCCGCCGTACACCGGCTTCCCCCACCCAAAATCCACTTTATCAAACCCCAACTTAGACGAATCCGAAACAACATAGTTTCTCTCCGACCTTAAAATCGGCGGCCGCCCCTTTAAATCCATGTAATTAACCACCGACTTAACATAATCCTCGTTCACTCTCTCCTTAGCTCTCTCCACTAACTCCACGGCATACTTCAACGGATTATCGCATAACCTTCCGGCTTCCGTCGCCGCCGCCGGCGTCACGGCTCCGTTGCCGTAATATCCGTTCTCCAGCGGGACTGGACTTTTGTTGCGTATATTAACCATGCATGCAATGCTTACTTTCTCATCACGTTTCAACTTCAAGGCTCGGGTTCGGGATCGCCATATGCAGGCGGTGATCACGTCGAAGTTTGACCTCCGGTGAGCCTGCGGCGGGAGTTTCCGGCGGATGGCTCTTATCTCTTTGGGACCAAAAAAGAAGGACCGGGACACCATGTTGTGGTGGTCCATTGTTGGGTCGTCTTCGTGGCTGACAACGCCGTATTCTGGGTGGTCATATGTGGTTTTGAATGGAAGATGTTTTGCAGTCAAAAGTTCTCTTTGCCAGACAGGTTTAGTTGAAGGTGAAGATGCACCTTGAGCTAACTCTCCCACAGCTTTCACAAATTGTGCTAAACCTAATCCATCAGTTAGAACATGGTTTACACGTATAGCCACCACAAATCCTCCACAAATCAACCTCGTAACCTGTAATTTTATAACGATCAGCTATGAACAATCCAGATTGATTTGTGGTTCTTTGCTAATTAGAATCACAATTAAGCCGGATTGGGATTTACTTATTAGTGTACAAATTAGGGTATTGAATGCAAGTTTCTCCAATAGATCGGACCGAGATCAGTTATGAACAACCTAGGCTGATTTGTGGTTCTTTGCTGATTAGAATCACAATTAAGCCAAATTGGGATTTACTTATTAGTGTACAAATTAAGGTATTGAATGCAGGTTTCTCTAACAGATCGGACCCGAGATCACTTATGAACAACCTAGGCTGATTTGTGGTTCTTTGCTGATTAGAACCACAATTAAGCCGAATTGGGATTTACTTAGTGTACAAATTATGGTATTGAATGCGGGTTTCTCTAATCACTAGAAAAACATAAGCAAATATACCTGAACTATCATCAATGGGCAACCAAGAATCTGATGAGAGCCAGGAACTTCATACAAGAACTCTTTGGAATACAAACATGGCGGTTTAACAGCATCACCCAGATCTTCCAAGCTTAAACTGGAATCTGCTTCGACGAACCAAATCCCTTGAGCACTGCAATCCACCATGAACTTATCCTCAGGGCCTTGAATGAGGCGACCTGCAAGAGGATAGTACCATACAAGGGCTTTAGCTACTGCATCTCTAATGGCTTCCACAGGGTCCTTTGCTTTCATCAGGGGATTTGCTCTATAGAACATGATCATGCAGAAATGGAACCTCAGACCTTTTTGGTCATCTATGTCTGATAATTCCTTTGTTTCTTGGGGAGTAGGCTTGGCTGGTCCCAGGAGCTCTGCTTCCTTATGCCAAACAACAAAAGCTTTTTCTACTGCCATTATATTTTTCTTCTTCTAGCTTAGTATCAAACTTGATGCTTGCATGTAATATATATAGCTTCAGTTTCTAGTGTGTGTGTATATATAGGCAAGTATATGGCTCTCTTCTTAGAAACTGCACTTTAGGAGCCAGGATAAAGTTTAACTTTCCTTGAAATAAATGTGAGTAATTAAATTATTTGTTGGTGAAGTCTTGAGTGTACTTCTGAAAGTTTGGATGAACTAGAAATCAAATTTTTAGAATATAGTCAAGGAAAATTAATTTGGCCTGCCCGGCCTATTGGACAAGGAAAGTTCAATTTTTACTAAAAATTTAAAACGTGAGTAAATTATTTTTACTTTTATTGAATTCTTGACTTGTGAAAGTTCGGATCAACTAAAAATTAAATTTGTTAAATTAAAGAAAATAAATCTGGACATATTGGGGTATGTTTTTTTTTTTTTTTAAGCGAAAGTATAAAACATATCAATTACATATTTATCTTTTTTGGATACATATTCTATTGTCGAGCGTATTCTACTACAGAAGTGCGCAAGCTAGCAAGATGCTAGATACAATTTTTCAAGTCGGTGTTCAACAATCCCCTTCTAACATTGTCATCAACTTCAAGTGTGTGCAAGAACTTGAAGTCGTGACCTACTCTAATACCAATCGTCTTGATTAAACGCTTACCATACATTACGCCACAAACTATATTTCATATTTGTGTAGCAACTAATGTCACATTTCGTTGTTATAATGTTCGACTCAACTCTACAAACCACCGTTGAATATGTATTAATGGTGTGAGTTAGTATTTCATGTTTATATGTAGAAAGGTATATTGGAGATTTTAAAAAAAATTCAAAAAAAGTTTAAACAATCGAGTAAAACGTTAGAAATAACTTTGATGTTAATTTAATTGTTAGGTTTTCAAGGTAACACTAAATAAATAAAATGTCATCGCCCTCTTAATTAAATAAATAAATATCCTTAAATTAGTTATTTCTAGCAGGCAAATGGTAGTTGGATTCATCATATTGAGAGTAAAACTCTTAGCACATTTCTTGATTTTATTTTTAATGGATCAAAATGTGTTATGTTAGTAGAGAATAAAACTGAAGTAGAACGTAAAAATGCGTTCTACTTCAGTTTTATTCTTTACTAACATAACATAACACATTTTGAAAGTGTGAAACATGTGTATGTAATATAACTATTAAGAGGTGTTTGGTTCAATAAATATTTTTAAATAATATAATATTTACGAGAATCTCAAATAACAAGTGTAAACAAATATAATTTTCATAAAAATTATTAAAAATAAATTAAAATAAAATTTAAAAATCTCACATTCTCTTACATTAAATAATGAGTCTAGTATTAACATATTCATAATCCTAAGATTCAGTAAAATAACATGATAAGGACCAGAGTCCCAGACATACATATTTGGACAGATGTACTATTATTCACCACATACATGCTTGGACAGACGTATAGTACTACTTTTTTTTTTGGGTGGGGGGAGGGGTCGTGGTCGGGGGAGGGACAGGCGTAGTACTTATTCACCATATATATTTACATTCTTTACATGTTTTTATTTTTATGATGGACTAATTTGATAAGTCTACGGTTCACAAAAAGTTGTGTGCGTTGTTCATGACTTACTCATGGCTTAATATTACCTAGGAAAATATTACATGTAATTTTATTTTGAAAAAATTACACTTCTAATCTTGTGACTATTATAATCTTGTTAATTTGAGTACTTGATTTTAAAAACTATCAATTTGATCCCATAACTATACAATTTTTAATACATTAGTCTTCCCAGCCAAATCGCCGACCAAATGTTGCCGGAAAAACTTAAATTTTTTTATTCTTAGGGACAAAACGGTCATTTTAAGTCATTTCTTCTTCTTTTTCCTTTCTTCATTTTCGTTTGTTTAATCCACTGACAATCAATCGGCTCTACACTCAACTTTTGCTCTCACATACAAAATTTTGATGTAGGGAGTAAGATTTGGGAGTTCATGTAATAGAACTATATTCACGGAGTGGTTAAGACCTTTTAAATAGTATGTGGCCTCAATTGCTTGGCCTCCACTATTTAAACAGAGCTTTGTCTGTTTCTTTCTTGTGTCTCATTATTCATTACTCCAAGTATGGTGTGTAAATTTCAATCCCGATTTCGAGTGTACCGTGCACGGAGATGGAGATTGCTGCGTTAACTTTCAGGGGTGACGCCATTGTTATGAGCCTACATCGATAACGGCAAATTTCTTTCTATAGTAGTGGTTATACCACGGCACAACAGTTATTTATTTTCACTTTATCAGCCTACTTTTTTAACAAATAGAAATGAATTACATGTTTATAAAGAGTGAAATAATGTATCTATCGCAATTTACCGCCGTAGCGACACGAGTACCACGTAAGTAGTAGCGCCGTCATACTTGCAAGTGCTGCAGTACTTGGGGTGAGGGTCGAAGTCAAAGGAATCATAGCAGGCTTGTACGAACTCGTCGTACCGGATGATTTACCGGCAGAGATGAGAGTTCCTGGGGTCCAGTAGCCCTTCCAATCGTAGGATCCATGAATTTCTGGCTATATTTTACACAGATTTCTTCCATCTTCTACATATGTTTCTTCATCTTCTTCAAGGTTCAATACAGAGTGGATTGTTGAACGTGCATTAAATGTGTGCAAACGCAATTTAATGCGCGTTCGCACACACTTCATCTAATCAATATTAGATGGATGCACATGTGTTCTCACGTTCTCACCTAAGCACATATTCTCATATATATATATGTATATATATATATATATATATATATATATATATATATATATATATATATATATATATATATATATATATATATAAATGAAGCTAGTAAATAAATTTAGTCTAACCGCCAAATTTTATTCCGGACAGCTCTAATTTATAGAGAGGATTTAAGAAGTGATTTGGGTGGTATCTCTATAACTTCACTAGGCTCAAGAGCTATGAACTTGTTCATCTCCTCTTCAAACCTCTTCATGGCCGCCGCCGGCAAGAAAACCGGCACAAGCACGCCGTCCTGACCGTCGCTATTCCGGTAGCGAGCATGAGTAATAGCGGTGGCTGATCCTCCTCCATCCATGGTCCCTCCATAAACTGGTTTCCCCCATCCAAAATCCATTTCATCAAACCCTATTCTCGACAAATCAGTAACAATTATACTGCTACGTGACCTCAACAATGGCGGCCTTCCTTTTGAATCCAAAAACTTAACCTCCGATCTAACGTAATCTTCACACACTCTACTCTTCGCTTTCTCTATCAACTTCACGACATACTCCAACGGGCTATCACATGATAATAATCTCCCAGCCTTTGCCACCGCCGCCGGAAACACCACCGCGTTGCCGTAGTATCCGCCGCCGCGCAGCTCTGGTGGACCTTTGTCACGTACGTTAATCGCGCATATGACGGCGACGGTCTCGTCGCCGTCGAACTCTAAGGCCCGTGTTCGACATATCCATATGCAAGCCGTAATCATGTCGAAGTTTGAGGCTGGTTGAGTCTGCGGCGGCGGTGGGAGTTTTTGGCGCATGGCTTTCATCTCTTTGGGGCCGAAAAAGAAAGAACGGCTAACCAGGTTGTCGGGATCTATTGTTGAGTTGTGGGTGACAATACCATATTCTGTGTGGTCGTAGGTTGTTTGGAGTGGAAGATGTTTTGCAGTCAATAATTCTCTTCTCCAGACAGGTTTGGTTGAAGGTGAAGATGCACCTTGCGCTAATTCTCCGACAGCCTTCACAAATTGTGCTAAACCTAATCCATCAGCAAGAACATGGTTTACATGTATAGCCACCACGAATCCTCCACAAATCAACCTCGTAACCTGTAATTTTATAACATATATATAAATTTCTAAAGAAGAATAGAAGATAAATCAGTCTAGATTGCGTGCCCAATCAATCAATCATACATTGTTTTTAAAAAGTTGAATCCCCCAGAGGATGTAAATCATGGTAATTCAGCTGAACACATAGGCTAGCAAGACCTTTGCTTACTGCGCACAAGGAGCCCTCACTTTGAGAGGTTGCTCTCAAAGCTGGTGAGACTTGACCCCGCTTCACCCTTGTGACCAACTGAGCTGGCCATACGGGCATCAATCACACATTATAATATGGATCATGGTTCACCTTACAGAATGAATTATTGACATAATGTTCATTTTTTAAAGGTTCATTTTTTGTGTACTAAAGTTTTATTTTTGAGTATACTACTAAAAAAATGAACATTCAATACACTAAAAATGAACTTTTATTTGCCACCTACATTGCAATCTAAATCATGATCCATAATATTATTTGCCAAAGGAATAAGATTCAAATTGACCACTGGACGTAACCTAAAAATGCAATTAGGTCACTGAACGAAAAAATAGCAATTAGACCACTGAACACTCCAAATATATGCAATTTCACTGGATAGTAGGTTACCTGCTTACGTGACAGCTGAGTTTGGCATTTTTAATAATTTTTAAATAATTATTATGCGGCCACCCTGTCGATTTTTTTCTTCAATTTTTTGTTAAAATTTATTATTAACATTTATTAAAAATTATTTAAAATGCTAACTCAACGTAAGCAGATAACCTGTTAAAATTGATGGTAACCTGTTATCCGGTGAAATTGCATACATTTGGAGTGTTCAATGGCCTAATTGCACATTTTTGAAGTGCTCAGTGGTTTAATTGTACTTTTTTTTTCATTCAGTGGCCTAATTGCATTTTCAGGTTACCTTTAGTCAATTTGAACCTTATTCCTTTGCCAAATTGTGCATACCTTACAACCTCCAAAAAAAAAAAAAAAAAAAAAAAAAAAAAAAAAAAAAAAATCTTCCAATCTTCCAATACAAATGGATCGAGTTAATACCCAAAATCGTCCTCGACTATAGTGGTTTTTCTCAATTTCGTCCTAAACGACTTTGATGACCTAATATCGTCCCTGACTTTTGTGTTTCGCTCAATTTAGTCCCAGACTTTTGTGTTTTTGCTCAATTTAGTCCTTCATTTGTTATTTTGTCCATTTGGTGTTAAATAAATAGACAATTCAGTAATTTTAATATTGGCATCTCTTTACTCATAGACATGTGAACTGCGAAATCTTTTTTTTTTTTACGAATTACTCCCAGAATTACTCCTAAAACTGCGAATATAAAATTTGATTTGCACGTCCGGGAGTAATTCTGGGTGTAATTCGTACAAGAAAGAGGAATTTCGCACTTCATAAGTTGAAAGTAAAGAGAGATCAATATTGACATACTGAATTGTCCCTTTATTTAACACCAATTTGACGGAATAACAAATGGAGGACTAAATTGAGCGAAACACAAAAGTCTGGGACGATATTAGGTCACCAAAGTCGTTTAGGACGAAATTGAGAAAAACCACTATAGTCGAGGACGATTTTGGGTATTAACTCCAAATGGATCAAATTTGGAATCTTGTGATTATTAAGTCAACAGGCCGCTCAAGCATGAGTAAATTAAAAGTACCTGAACTGCCATCAATGGGCAACCAAGAATCTCATAAGAGCCAGGCACTTCATACAAGAACTCATTGGAGTACAAACATGGTGGTTTAACGGCATCACCCAGATCATCCATGCTGAAACTGCAATCTGCTTCGATGAACCAAATCCCTTGAGCACAGCAATCCACCATCAACTTATCCTTAGGGCCATGAATGAGCCGACCTGCAAGAGGGTAGTACCATACCAGAGCTTCAGCTAATGCATCTCTAATGGCTTCCACAGGCTCCTTTGCTTTCATCAGGGGATTTGCCCTATAGAACATGATCACGCAGAAATGGAACCTCAGACCTTTCTGGTCATCAATGTCTGATAATTCCTTTATTTCTTGGGGAGTAGGCTTGGCTGGTCCCAGGAGCTCTGGTTCCTTATGCCAAACAACAAAAGATTTTTTAGCTGCCATTTTAATTATTTTCTTCTTGATTTCAAACTTATTAGCTTGAAGTTTCTGGTGTGGGTGTATAGTATATATAGAGCCAATGATATATATGACACTTTCTTTTTTTTATGTTATTAAACATTAGGATAAAGATAAGCTAATTGACATATTCAATATAATGGACGGAATAATTATCCACTGTATAATTTCAACCTATTCAATTATTAAATTGTTTAAAATTTTCTGAATTAAACCCTTTTTAGAGAAACCAAGACTATGTGGTCTAATGGTACTGAATTGGAAGGTTGTGAGTTCAAGCCTTAGTGGATGCGTTTTTGGTTTTTTATGTTTTAGTAGGTTAATAACGTATATGAACAGATATTATATTGTAATAGAGCCAGTAGCATTCAAAAACTCTTTTAGAGATCAAAATGGTAATTTTCACATTTTAAAAATGTTATTAATTTGGTCTTTGAAAGGATTTAATTAACAAAATTTTAAACAATTTGAGGATCAAATGGTTGAAATTGAAAACAAGGAACTACATTAACAATTGGGAAATAATTATGGGACGAAAATGTTGATTTTTTCTAAAAAAACAAAAACAAAAACATTTCAAAAATTTTAAACGTGTGCGCCTAGGAAAAGACATGGTTAACGTACTAGGTAACGTGGTATGCTTGTTTTGCATATAGCAAAAGACTTTAATGGTCTTCTGTTCCCTGTCATGATATTGATCTGTTGAGAAATATTTGTTTTGTTACAATTAACTATTAGTTGCAAGCTAATAATATTTAAAACGTTTTTAACGATATAATAACAATAATAATAATTTATATAATAATTATATTTAATAAAAAATATGTTTGTAATAAAAGATCTTATTTTCTCATTATTTTCATCTAATAATTAAATTATCAAAATGTCACTACTTTTTTCTCTTATCGCTTCAAATTAGTTATATTTTTTTCTAAATGGACGATTAAGATTAGGTCTTAATTTTTCTTAAAAACATATTCTCATTTGACTATGCCGTGTATGTATAGAACTTGTTTTTAGTTTCAATTCATTGCTGTCCAAGGAAGTATCAGTGACACATACATATATATTGTATGTATGTATTCTATCTGAAAAATATATTCTAAATTGTTTGATTGTTTTTAATTAGTACTATCCCGTAATTTACATACAATTGTACAAAAAATATGGAGATGATAGCAAGGGGGCAGGGTCACACTATTATGGCCCACGCATGCATTATTTCCTAGAAATTATTGTCCGGCCGACATTCCAAAAGCGTTGCAATCGTTATATCGTGCACCAAAACGTATAATGCATTGTGCACCCTGTTTAAAACGACGTCATTTTTTACTGTTGAAAATTATGGAATCTCCGACCACTTGAAAGTGTCTTAAATCAAGTCAAAAGCTTTGTAGAAAAAGTCTGTTTTGACGGCTCTACTTGTTGTTCGTACTCACTTCTCATCCTTAAGCTATAACTAACATTACAAATTTCATCCTTTTTTTTAACAGTCATGCTCACTTCTCATCCTTAAACTACAATTGACGTTGTAAATTTTGTCTTTAATATTTTATAAAAATTGACAAAATTTATAAAATCAGTTATAACTTAGAGACAGAAAGTGAGTAGCCAACAAATAGACCCGTTGAGAAGGGTTGATAGGCCAGTTGCTCTACCAAGTGGCAAAACCCGTGTGCCAATAAAACCAACCCATGGGGGCCAGAGTCTTTTAAGCAGTGGTATCATCACTCTTTCCTTTTTGCCAAAAATCCAAATTTACAAGAAGCCCAAAAATTTGATACATTTACAACGTTGAACTACCCAATAAACAAAAAAGGGAATACTATTCGGTAGACTCAGCTATGTGGACTATAAATATATATATATATATATATATATATATATATATATATATATATATATATATTACTTTTGTATATAAAATACATTATTTTGTATACTATCAAATAATACACATTCAAAATACAAATAATGAATTTTTTTAGTATAAAAAGATACATTATATTTAAACAAAGTATATTATTTGAATATTAAAAGTATATTATTTGTATAATGTATATTCAGTATATAAATAATGTAATTTTAATATATTAAAAATGTATTTTTTTTTTAATGATCCATACAGTAAATCATATTCCACATAATAATTTGCCAAAAAAAAAAAAAAAGCAAATCCTTGCAGCTTTTTGGACAATCATATCAACCAGGCTGGACTACTCATGTTGGAACCTTCTTTTGTTCTTATCTTGTCACTTAAAGTAGACAGTTCACAGTAGCCACCAAAACTCGGCAAAGCACAAAAGATAACAAACTAAGCTTAAAAACTGCAGTTGACGACTACTGCACATATTTTGAGAGTTTGGTAAATAGCTATTAGTTGATTTGATTAGTGAATTTCACAAGTTAATAGCATTAGCTGATTGTAGAAAAATATTTGGTAAGTTAGCTGTTAGTTGATAGCTGATTACATACAAAATGACTTTTTCAAAAAACAGATCGAAAAAACTACTTTGAACATCTTTTTAAATTTTAATATTTTGGAGCAATAAATTGTGATGAACAACTCAATTCACATTCAATCAAGAAAGAGATTACAATCAAGAGACCAATAGGAAAACTACCACTAAAAGCTCCTATACAATAGACTAGACTAGTCAATCAAATAACAACCACAGAGAACTAAACTATACATTATAACATAATTATATATTATATATTATTACTAACACACCCCATCAAGAACAAGGTTGGATGGTGACAACATTGAGCTTGTCTCGTAGAGTCTGAAAACACGGAGCCGGAAGTGGTTTGGTGAAGATGTCTGCCAGATCTTTGGTTGAGACAAAACTAACAATGGAATCCCCAGATGCGACCTTGTCCCGAACGAAGTGGTAATCAATCTCAACATGTTTTGTGCGGGCGTGAAAGACAGGATTAGCCGCTAGGTAGGTGGCCCCTAAATTATCACACCATAGCATGGCCGGGGTGACGGAGTGTAACCCTAACTCACGCAGTAAAGAGATAACCCATATAACCTCTGTTGAAACATCGGCAAGCCCTTTGTACTCCGCCTCTGTGGAGGACCTAGCTACGGTGCGTTGCTTGTGGGGGAGACCCACGAAACAAGATTGTCCCCGAGAAACACAGCGTAGTCGCTAGTGGACTTACGATCTACCGGACACCCGGCCCAGTCTGAATCTAATGAACAACTCAATTCACATTCAATCAGAAAAGAGATTACAATCAAGAGACCACCTATAGGAAAGCTACCACTAAAAGCTCTTATAGAATAGACTAGACTAGTCAATCAAATTACAACCACAGAGAACTAAACTATACATTATAACATAATTATATATTATATATTATTACTAATAGTTATTACAAAAATCTAATTAATTAAAATTGTCTGATAAGTTAACTATACTATTTTACCTGAGCCTTTACATGTATGACCAAATAATGTTAGATAGAGCAAATCATACCAGCAAAACAGATCATATCTAAAAATCTAAAATAGATCATGGATATACTTATCAAAATAAGATGGAATTTGGTCTTGACATGATTGAAAAAGGTCTATGGTTTTTCCCTTGATTATATTTGGTACATAAAAGTCCCCTTGCCCATCATGTTCTGGAGAATGGTTACTTCATACAACTATATAGGTAACTAAATTTGTAAGATGAGACCTACTACAAATCTATAATGCATGATTATATAGGTAGCTTGGTGAGATATTTAATATCATGTTAACAAAAGTCCAACTAGCACTACTCTACTAGATGATGTCACTCCTACACCCAAACATGCATGGTACATTGCAAAAGTAATTTGAATCATTCAATCCATCTCTAAGACCATCTCAATTAAAGCATCCCCAATAGGGGTTTTTGGCAAAGATAAAAATTTGAGATTGATTTAAATATAAGAATTTGAGATTGATTTTTGGATTAATGGGAGACTGAGTTTTTTATTAGATTTTTCTTCACCAATATATGATTTTTGTGAGCATTAGGTGCAAATTTAATCTTACTTTTTTCTTGATTTTTGTGAGCATTAGGTGCAAATTTAATCTTACTTTTTTCTTTTTTTGGTTGTTTAGATTGTGTTTTTGCTTTCTCTTTTTTTCCTTTCCGCTCTTTCTTTCTCTTTCCTAATTGTAGGGACAAAAAACAAAGAAAAATCTCCTACAATTGAGAGCATCTCCATCAATTTAGTTTTTGTACAACATTTTAGGAAGACATGTAGAAGAGAGAAGAGGGAAAGAGAATAAATAAATAAATAAATAAGCAGACTAGCCATGAAAAAAAAAAAAGAAAACAAGGCATCTAACGCTCTGCCCGGCCGAGCACGGTATGTGCAGCAGCAGTGCAGGTGCACGCACCCGGCTGGGTGCGGTCTGTGCAGCAGCCGTGCAGGTGCTTGCGCCCATTTGGGCACAATCTGTGCAGCAGCCGTGCAGGTGCACACACCCGGCTGGCCACAGTCGTGCAGGTGCACGCACCCAGTGCGCGGTCTGTGCAGCAGCCGTGCAGGTGCTTGCGCCCATTGGGGCACAATCTGTGCAGCAGCCGTGCAGGTGCACACACCCGGCTGGCCGCAGTCGTGCAGGTGCACGCACCCAGTGCACGGTCTGTGCAGCAGCAGGCGCCCGGCTGGGCACAGTCTGTGCAGCAGCCGTATTCCAGACATGACAGTTGGTTGAGCCACCGGGGGAAAGACACCCCGGATGCACATGGAATTTGCAAAGAAGACTCATGCCAAACCTGCATAGAAAAATCACAGAAGAGTAGGGTATGCATCACATCCTCATTCATTGGTGGTGGTAGGCAGAATGTTTGCATAGCTCTCCAAAGAAATGTCTTCCACTTAGGGGGGCTTTGATCTTACACAACCTAGACCTTTAAAACTATTAATAAGGGGAAGAGGAAAGTGGATTATATTCCCCAACCATGTATCCACCATTCGCCTAGTAAATCACCAGTGCCAACTACCATTCGCCTAGTAAATCACCAGTGCCGGTACCCACATCCACGTCCCGAGAGAAGAAAATGTCTCTTAAAATAGTTAAGTCCCAAATGTGTGTGTCAAGGTCTATAAGTCCCGAGATAGATCATAATATAGTATTGAAAAACAGAAGCATAAATAACCTAGAACATTAGTCTCCTTAACATTGTACAATAACATGTTAGCCACTGAATAATAAAAAAGAAACACTTAAAATGAGCAAAGTATGATTGGTATTATGACTATTATCTATCAATCAATACAAATTAGGAAAATGAGATCTCTCATCTTAAAAGTTATAAATAACACAATATACCTTCTTTACAATATTTGTGAGCAACTGAAGCACGAAGCAATGAAGCATTAACTCATGCTAGTTATCCTTCACTACAATATAGCTTCTTTACAAAATCAATGTGTGAAACTGAACCACGAAGAAACCAATCAAATCATTAAGATCAAGACTTAATTTAATTAGTAAAGAAAAAACCAATAATATAGTCACAACTCATAACACAGCATCCTTTCAACATCAATATGTTCACAATTAAAGCATGATGAAGCGTAGAGATCAAATCATAATTGCTTTCATATGGACAAAGCCAGAGACAGAACCATAAAAACGATGTTCAGGAAGTTTCTGTTCTGTAGATTTTTGGGTAAATATTATTGATGGAGAGTGGCACACAAAGCCTTAGCTAAATTTATTCTCTTCTATCACACAAACTTGAATACAGAAAGAAGCATAAAGATCAGTCTTCTAGGTCTTTCACATACAAAAGACCCAGTAAAACTGACCCCCAAGCAATATTTTCATGTAAATTGATGGAAATGCAATAGGCAAAATGTAAACTTTTATCTCATTTTATTTGGAATAATTTGATTAAAATTAAGTTTAAAGCTCCAAAGAAAGTACCTTTATGAGATACAACATGACAAATTAAAAAATGAAGCTAATCCATTTAAACAGAATTGACATACAGTAATTGCATCCAAAGCTTAAATAGAACATTAGAGTAATCTCCAATTTCCTTACTTGAAAATGCAATAAATCACCAAATCAGCCCCTTATTTGATAAATTTATGATAGCTTACCTTACAGATCCAATGAAAACACACAAAATATACACCTAAAAAGCAAAGATCCAGAGAATCAGACAATCAACACCATATCCAGCTATCCACACATTTAGATCCAGAGATCCAAGCACATCCACACCAATTAATCAAACAAAACACGTACAAAATCAAACCTAGAGAGAACCAAGCAGCAGAAATCAGATCGAAAACCAAACACAAAACACTCATAACTCACGCAAACCTATTCCGCCATCCGTACGGAACCAAATTGCAATATACCGCGGTCTCCGATTCAATTGATACAGGGCAGGACCTAAACTCGCCGAGGACGACGCGCAAACGCATCTATCCCATACGGATTCGTACAAGACAGACACAGCATGCACACACTCCTCCGGCGGCTTTCGAGCTGAGCCGGCCGTCGAGCGGCGGCGGCGCCGTGAAAGTCCCGACCTGCACCAAGCGAATCAGAGACCGCCGCAATGTCTGTGCCCTAAGAGCCACGAACGAATTCGCCACTGTTATATATACAGTTTCTGCATCTACAGTTATATATATATATATATATATATAGAGAGAGAGAGAGAGAGAGAGAGAGAGAGAGAGAGATCTGAAACACAGAGAGATTAAAAGAAAACAAGAAAAAGTGGTTATTTTAGGGATTTAGGGCTGTGAGACGATGGGAGAAGGAAGGGGTTATTTGTAGAGAAGACAGACCAATAGGATCCTGACGCGTGGATGCGTGTCGGCCCACCAACCTCGCGGGATCTAGACAATTAAAGTAATATTGTCGTATAAGATTTACCAGATTTAGTATATATCTATATTAAATAGATTTCATTGATTAAATATATAATTGTGTGAATTGTGATTGATTCAAAAGATTATAATGCATCTGACATTATATTTATGTCCAATACGTTACATTTTAAATGTGATAAATTTTTATTTTTAAATAAAAATATATTTAAAATTTAATATATTATCGTGTAAAAACTATATTTAGTCAAAAGATGAGTGTGCACCTGATGTGACACTTACGTGCAATACTTTACATTTTTTTCATTCGATTAATTTCCATTTTTTAAAGAAAAATAAATTTACTATCAAATGTATTGTCGTGTGAAAACTTTATCCAGTCAAAAAGATTAGAATACACCTGACGGAATACTTATGTTCAATACGTTACATTTTAATTGCAATTAATCTTTATTTTTAAAAAAATTTAAATTTTATCCAGACAAAAAATTATAGCACACCTGACGCGATACTTACGTGCACTAAGTTACATTTTTAGTCCCTTAGGGTTGGGGTTCAGCCTTTTGGAAGACTAAGTTACATTTTTAATGGTATTAAAAAAAATTCATTTTTTAATGAAAAATAAATTTAAAATTAAATATGTTATTGTGTGAAAACTTTATCCAGTCAAAAGATTAAAATGCACCAAGCGTGATACTTACATTTAATATGTTACATTTTTTATTGGATAAAATTTCATTTTTAAAGAAAAATAAATATATTATAGTGCGGAAAGTTTATCACGATAATTACATTCAATACGTTACATTTTTGATGTGATAAATTTTCATTTTTGATAGAAATATGAATTTTTCATTTTTGATAGAAATATGAATTTAAACTTAAATATACTGTTGTGTGAAAACTTTGTCCAGTCAACAGATTAGAGCTCTAACACGATACTTATGTTTAATACATTACATTTTTAATGAGATAAGTTTTCATTTTTAAGAAAAATAAATTTTTAATGAGATAAGTTTTCATTTTTAAGAAAAATAAATTTAAAATTAAATATATTATCGTGTGAAACTTTATATAGTCAAAATATTAGAACGCATCTAACGTGATACTTAATTACTTTCAATACGTTACATTTTGAATGCGATAAACTCTCATTTTTTTTAAAAAATATCAATTTAAAATTAAATGTATTGTGTGAAACCATTGTTTAGTCAACGGATTAAAACGCACATAACCCTAGACATACGTTGAATACGTTACATTTTTAATGGGATAAATTCTTATTCTCTAAAGAAATATAAAATTAAAATAAAATATATTATCGTGTGAAAACTTAATCCAATCAACATACTACAACTCACCTGAAGCGATACATAAATTCAATATGTCATATTTTTAATGCAAAAAATTTTCACATTTATAAAAAACTAAAATTAAATATATTATCACTTAAATCCACTCAAAAGATTAAAATGAACCTAACACTACGTTACATTTTTAATGGGATAAATAATTTACATTTCTTAAATAAAAAGTTTAAAATAATATATATATTATCGTGATAAAATTTTATCCAGACACGATAATTACGTTCAATACGTTACGTTTTCATTATTTTTAATATAAATATGATTTTAAAATTAAATATATTGTCCTGTGAAAATTTAATCCAATCAACGGATGAAAATGTCCATGACGCGATGCATTTGTTCAGATCGACAAGCAAAAACAAAGCTCTCATAACTCACGCAAACCTATTCCGACATCCGTACGGAACCAAATTCTAATATACCGGGCGGCCTCCGATTCATTTGATACAGGGCGGGACCTAAACTCGCCGAGGACGACGCGCAAACGCATCTATCAAGCTGAGCCGGCCGTCGAGCGGCGGCGGCGCCGTGAAAGTCCCGGCCTGCACCAAGCAAATTAGAGACCGCCGCAATTTCTGTGCCCTAAATGCTACGAACGAATTCGCCATTGTTATATATACGGGTTGGGACGGTTATATATATAGAGAGATCTGAAAACGCAGAGATTAAAAGAAAAAGAAAAAAAAAAAGCTGGTGAATTTAGAGAGTTAAGGGTGTGATTGAATGGGAGAAGGAAGGGGCTACTTATAGATAAGACAAACCAATAGGATCTCGACGCGTGGATACGCGTCGACCCGGCCCACCAACCTCGCGGGATTTTGGCAATTAAGGTAATATTGTCTCGAATTGATATAATATTTACTAGATTTAGTATATATCTATATTATTCTAAATAGATTTCGTTGATTAAATACGGAGTATATAATTACGTGAATTGTGATCGAGTTAAAAGATTAGAACGTATCTGACATGATATTTACGTTCAATACATTACATTTTAAATGTGATACATTTTTATTTTTAAACAAAAATATATTTAGAATTTAATATATTGTCGTGTGAAAACTTTATCCAGTTAAAAGATGAGAACGCATCTGACGTGACACTTACGTGCAATACAATAAATTTTCATAATTTTATTTTTTTTGAAATACTCATAATTTTTTAAAATTTAATATATGTTTTATACTTTCTCAAACACTTTAAATCCAAAGAATCTAAGTCGTCCGACCACCCATATATAAGGAAAAAGAGTGAATAGCAATGATGATAATTATATTTCTATAAAACGTGTAATGTCCATATTGCTAAATATTAAATTAAAAAAAAAAAAAGGCGAATAGCAAAGATTATAATTATATTTCTATAAAATGTGTAATGTCCATATTGCCAAATATGGACCAGTTGAATATATTAGGTTCATGCATCATTTTCTTATATTCCTTACATAACCAGAGGATTTACAATTTAGTGACATGATTTAAATATAGGATTTTTCAAAAAAAAAAAAAAAAATTAAACACACATATTGTGAATAAGTGGATCAATTGTGACTTAAATAAGACAAAGTCGAAAAAATTATTTTGGTGAAGAACGAAATTTGTTATCATTTTAAAAGATTTTGTGAAATGGAAATGACCAACAATCGTAATATCTTTTTAATATTATGATTTTCATGATTAGATTTTAAAAGATTTTCAACGCTTATAATTTTATTTAGATTATTTGAATTTAAAACTTTTAATAATCATTATTGCTTTCGTATAACAAGTCTTTAAAGTCATAAA